TGGCTAGTGGGTTTGAACCACCAGCCTTCTGGTTAGCAGTCAAATGCCTTAGGCACTATGCCACCAGAGCTCTTTAAAACATTAAAAAAGAAAGATGTCACTCTGAGGACTAAGGTGCACTTCACCCAAGCCATGGTACTTTCAGTCGCCTCATATGTATGTGAAAGCTGCACAATGAATAAGGAAGACCTAAGAAGAACTGATGCCTTTGAATTATGGCGTTGGGAAAGAATATTGAATAGACCATGGAGTGCAAGAAGAGGGAACAAATATGTCTTTGAAGAAGTACAGCCAGACTCTGTTTTATATACTTTGGACATATTTGTTATCAGGAGGGACCAATCCCTGGAGAAGGACATCATAGCTGGTAAAGTAGAGGCTTAGTGAAAAAGAGGAAGACCCTCAATAAGATGGATTGGCACAGTGGCTGCAACAATGGTCTCAGACTTAGCAACGATTGTGAGGGTGGCACAGGAGTAGACAATGTTTCATTCTGTTGAACATAGGGTCTCTATGAGTCAGAACCAACTCAATGGCACCTAATAACAACTTTCGCTCTATTGCTCAAGGGGGGTTAAGACATTAAAATAAATAAATCGTGACCCCATTCTACACCTTCCCACCCACCCAGTGGACTCAGTGCCTCATTCCCTCCTCCACTCTCTCCTCTCCTGTCCCACAGGGGCCTTGGCAGGCATACAGGGGCAGGGGGATATGCCTACCTGCTTTGGCATCAGTTATCACTGAGGCCTCTGGCCTGGCCCACTCACTCTCCCTTCTCCCTTCAACTCAGCCCTAGGACCCCAAACTCACTTTCAAGAATGGGTAGCTACAGTCCCCAAATCCAGCCCAGCCAAATTCTTCCAAACCTTGGGAAGCTGAGACCCCTGGGTTCTGTTCCAACCCCTGATGACACCATTGCTAACTGAGGAATACTGTCTCTCTGCCTCAATTCCATGCTCAAATTCCCCTAAAACAAGTGTTTGTCCTTAGCAGAAAGAGAAAGAAAATTTGGTCTCACACCATTCATCTCCACCCTTGGTTCTCCCAGCTCCCAGATGGCCACAGTCCAGGAGCCCTACCCTAGGTGGGGATAGAGGCCCAGCAGCCAGAGGCAATGTGCAGCCAGCCTCCCTCCACTTAAGTGAGAGCAGAGCCAACCTGTAGGAAAGCCCATCCCATTTTGCCGTCTCCCCTTGAAGGGCTCTAGGCTCCCTCTGAGACACCTGGGTCACATTCAGGACCCTCCTGATACCTCAGCAGGCCACTGATGGGGGAAAGTAACTAGTCTAACTCAATGCACTTGATCCCCAGGCCAACACAGGAACCTCAGGTCTCCCACGCTCACTCTCCCAGGGTCCTACTCTCTGTTGGGCCCAGGATGATGGGGCTTTCAGGAGCGGGTGTCAGTGGGAGGGAGTCCTGATTCTCTCTGCAGGCAAGAAAAGGGAGGGAACGAGAGAAAGAGTCCTCAGTCCTCAGGGGCTTACCTGGCATTATCTCTGGACATCGCGGTGGTGGGGGGCATAAAGGTAAGATGGTATATCTGGCGGTTAGGACACGAGGGTCCCAGTCCCTAGGCTCTGCCGGGCCCGCACTGTTTGGATGGCCTGCTGGTTCTTGAACTTGACCAGGCCGAGGGTGATCTGGGCGTTCCAGCCGGGGTCCTCCAGGGGGCAGCGGAAGTCGATCTCTCCGCCGCCCTCGGTTACCAGCGTGAAGTAGATGTGGCGCCCGGTGCTCTCCACGCACTCCACAGCCTTGATGCGGGCGAAGCTGAGCTCCTTGGGCCGGCCGCCCGTGCCCTTGGCCTCGAAGAGCTGCAGCCCGCGCTCGGTGAGCACGCAGCGCTTCCGCTTCCACAGCTGCAGCAGCCCGCCGCTGCGCTTTTCCAGCACGCCCTCCTTGAGAACTGTCGCCGCCGCCGTCATGGGCGCCCCGCGGTCCCAGGAAAGCTGTAGGTAGCGGCTGGCGCGGCGCCCCTCCGGGCTCTCAGAGCCGGAGTCTGGTGACGGGGACTGGCTGGCTGTGCGCCCTGCCCACCTGCGCCCCAACGGCCCTCTGCGTCCGCACCTCGGTCCTCTGGCCACACTGCCTTCTCGGGGCCTGCTGAAGCCCCCCGCCCTCCCCCAGCGCCAGGCACCCGCTGCCCGCTTCAGCCCACAAGGGCTCCTCCGCGCAGCTCAAGATGCCGCCCCGCCTCTACGCTGTGCTCCCGCTCTCCGTCGCGGGTGAGCTCCGCTGCCCGCTCGCACAGTGCTCCTTTACTCGCTTGCTCCCAGGGCTCGATCTGCGCGCTGCGCTGAAGCTCAGGGGATGTGTCCTTACTTGTTCCACCGCTCGCCTCCAGCGCCGCCCGCCCTCCCCTCCGCGCATTCCTGCCCTGGCCAGTCCTCCCGAGGGCGGGGCCGCAGTGGGGGCTGTGTCACACACGGGAGGCTCTGGGCGCTGGGCGGAGAGGGCTGGTACAGACAGGGGGGCCGCTTACTACATAACCCTACTGCCTTCTGCCTCCCGTCCGCTGCTTCTGGGAGAACAGCTCCCCCAGGCCGTGGACGAATGGGGGCGGACCAGAGGGGAGGGAGGATCTCTTATAGACTGGAGGGCTCTCTGCTAGTAAGGGGGGTGGCCTGCTCAGCGGGCGCAGTGGCACCGGCTGAAGCTTGCTGGTGGACGTCAGGTAGCTACTAGAGGCGTTTCAGGCCGCGAGAGTCCTAGCTTCTGCCTCTTTCCCAAGCTTGGTCAACTCTCCCTTGCCCTTGTGCAATCAGAAAACGAAAAAGGTCTTGGGGTTGGGAAAGGCTCACCAAGCCCATACTGGCTCACTCCTCTATCGGCCGATTTCTTTGTGCAAGACCCAAGAAAAACTGTCCACAGCTGTCTCTGCTTGGATGTTCTGCCTCTGACGATCCTAGCCACACTCTCCCTCTCCCTCAACACACACACACACACAGAGGCACACGCATGCACGCACGCACCAGGCGAGGGAGACATGTAGAGAATAGCGGATCCCAACCAGGGAGAGAAGAGCCTTGAAGTCACTCAGGGCCTTCCTCTGCTGGGGAGGAAGAAGCCCCTACTGTGACCTGGGGACGTCGCTGTGGACATCGCCGCCTGCTGCCCTCTTCTTTGCATATCCGCCTGGAGGGGCTGCTCAGTCTAAGAGTCAGGGGTGTCTGGTGCTGTCAGCCCCAGGCCTGAGCACAGCTTCAGCCGGTTCTTCCCTTCCCGTCCCTCCTCCAGCCTTCTCCTGAGAAGACAATGGACTTTTTCCTGGATACTGAGCTGGAGGGCGATGGGGAGAGAAAAGGTTTCTCTTTTCTTTTTGCCTAAAGACTACTGTGTAAAGACAGAAGCTTTGCAGACTCGGGTTCAAACCTCAACTCTTGTCTCTTGATTGCCATGTCCTGCCCACCTTGGGCAATCTAATTAACCTCTCTCAATTTCCTCATCTGTCAGATGGGTAATTATTTGTTCTTATCTTATGGGTTTGTGGTGATGAATAAGTTAGATAACATTTGTGAAAGCACCCAGAACAGGGACTGACTACTCTTAGAGGCTCAGTAAATGTTATTCCTCACCCTTTCCCCCTTTTATTACCATTAGAGGAAAATGAGGAGCTCCAGAGTAGGCCAAGGACTGGGAGATGGCTCTCCCAGGTCTTAATACTACCCAACTTGGTCTGCTCCTCTAGACCTACTGTTCCTTGAGGGCCTATTAATCAACATGTTAATAATAGATTATCATGGGACAATATGAAATAATGACAGTAAGAAGACCTTTTTGTGCTCACACCCTGTGTTTCCATGCTCTTGAGCAGTGATGCAGAACCGAACTGGTACAGGGAAGTTCTGGTTGCAGGGGGTGTTTGAAAATGGGGGAGTAGGGATGTCCTGCAACACCAAACTTAGGGAGTGGGAAAATTGTTAGCCCTGAAGGAGCACCTGTCCAGGAGAGGAAGTGGGCAGTGTCATGGAAGAAAAGAGGCAGTCAAAACAGATGTCTCCTACCAGCTAGAGGGTAGTAGTGGAAGGAGCTCAAAGTGGCCACAGCCCTGCCTCTGGGGTTTCCTTGGTCTCAGACTGTCTGCCAGCCATACCTTCTAGTGGCTCCTCCTACCCTTCTGCATAGGAGTTTCCAAGTGTGCCAACCCAGCACAGTCCTGCCATGATCCATAGTTCTCTCTTTGAGGAAATAGAAGAAGGAATCATGAGCCCTGGGTTCTAGACCAGTCTTGGCCCCTAACTCTGCTTTATCCCTGTCACTTCCTGGATCTGGGACTTTCTGGGTCATGCTTTCTCCAGTTTCTGGTTAACTCATAATTCTATGGGTTTTGAAAGTTTACAAAGCACTTTTACATGTTTCTGATTCTCACAGGAAATAGCTATTATTATTGTGCATTTACTCATAAGAAAATTAAGACTCAGAGAAGTTAAGCAATGTAGATGAAGTCACAGCTTTGTAAATGGCAAAGGTGGTTTAAGAATGTGTGTTGGCTAGGATGAGCTAGGATTTTTTAAAAAAAAAATAATATTTTATTGTGTTTACACAGCAAATTGGGGTCTTATTTGACAATTCCCACACAAATTGGTTAATGACAATTACATTTTCTGCTATGTGTCAACATTCTCTTTGTATTCTGGTTGTTCCATTTCCAGTATTCTAGTTTCCCTGCCCCCTTATCTTCTTTGCTTTAGATTAAAAGTTGATCTTTTAGACTCATATGGATGGTTTTTTAATAGACACCAAACTAATGAGTAATATCCTTTGTGTGTCATTCTGCTTTTCTATTAAACAGTGATCTCAGGGGATAGTTTTGTTTCAAGGTTTAAAGAGTGTCTCAGGGTGATAGTTTCTGGCTGCCCTCTGGTCTCAGGTGGTCCCGTTAGTCTGGACAGGCTCTTTAAAGAATTTGAGTTTTGTCCTACATTTTTCTCCCATTCTATCTGGGATCATCTATTGTGACACTTGCCAGATTGGACAGTGGTGGTAGCTGGGCACCATCTAGTTCTGGTCTCAGAGTAGTCGTGGTCTTAGCTCATATAGGCTATCAGCCTTGTAGACTTGTTTCTTCTTTGAGATTTTGGTTACCTTCTTACTCTTTTGCTCCTGACAAGTAGAGATTATAATTTGTATCTTAGATGGCCACTTGCAAGCTTTTAAGACCTTGGATACTACTCACTTTGGTATGATGCAAAGCATGAGCTTTGTAAACTATATTATGCAAATTCATTGAGCTGTCCCCTGAGAACCTAGGATCTTTTGATAATACCACGCTGCTTCTCCATAAACATCTGGGAACATATAGTTCCCTTTAGACATAATCTATACCCACACTTTCCTCTTCAGCCTACTAAGTGGAGAGGTGCCAGGATTTTGGACACAATAGAAAGGGCAAAAAAGACAAGAACATTGGATAGCAAGAGTGAGTGGGCAGTATCAAGAATAGGCAAGTGTATAGAGACCAGTATTCATTAGTGGACATCAGGGGCAGGCAGAAGGAAGGAGGAAAAGAGGACTCAATGCTTAGGGGACACCAAACTTCCATTAAGGATGATAGAAAAATTGGGGAACAGATAAGGGAGGTGGCTGAACAACATGAACATAATTAATGTCACTGAACTGTACATGTAAAGATTGTTGAAATGGCAAATATTTTGTTACATATATATTTTGTTGTTGTTAGTCAAATAGATTCCAACTCATGGTGACCCCATGTGTTACGGACTAGAACTGGTCCATAGGGTTTTCCTGGCTATAATCTTCACAGAAGCAGATAATCACCAGGCTTCTTCTGCAGTACCACTGGTTTGGTTCAAACCACCAAACTTTATGTTAACAGTCAACTTACCACAATTAAAAACAAAAACAGAAAGAGTGAGTGATAGAGAGGGGCCATAGGAGGAAATTTAGCAGGGTACACTCTATTGCTGGAAGGGTCTTCACCAGCTAGATCCTGTGAAGATACTTGGAACTTGGGAGACTGTCCCCTACCCTCATGGCCTTCTACATCTGAGGGAGTGACTCATTCTAGATCTTTCCCCAACGTGGCCTCTTGCCTGAAATCTCTATCTGGGAGTAGCTCAGGCCCAATTGGATTATTTGGACCATCAGAAAGATCAAGAAACATTTGGAAGTTGGGGGTACAGAGGGGGCTACTGCTGGTGGCCCCCTGCCAGAGCACCCTTACATTTCCCTGGAAATGTGGCTCTAAGTTAGCTTCTTGGGGCACTCAGCTGTAGCAATGCTGGGCCAGAGCCACTCACTCAATTCTTATTGACTTGTTGACTCCATATGGGATAGATGAACAGAATGTCCCTTGATTGAAGCCCCGAGCTGGCTCCTCCCTCTGCACCCCTGTGCCCCACCCCACCACACACACTAAGAGAAAGCTGATCTGCACTGTCAGTCCATCTGCTTTGCCAGTCCAGCTGGAACAGGCTGGGCTATAAAATGACCCCAGGGAATGGTGTGCTGGAAATGCCCTAGCTAGGCCTGAGCCACCAGAGTCTAGCTCCATTCTGGGTGGCTGCCCAGGACCAAGTAAAAAGAAAGATGGCAACAAGGTAGGGAGAGGCAAGAAGGGAACCAGAAAAAAAATATGAAAAATCACACAGCTTCTATTTTCTACAATGTTTGCTTAACCCCATTATAAATTCTGTTTGTTGTTGTTAGTTGCCATAGAGTCAATTCCAACTCATGGAGACCCCATGTGTACAAAGGAGAACTGTTCCATAGGGTTTTCAAGGAACAGATCACCAGGCTTGTCTTCCGAGGTGTCCCTGGGTAAGTCTAATCACCAACTTTTCAGTTAGTAGTCAGATGCTTAACAATTTGTGCCACCCAGGGACTCCTTAAATTCTGTTTCATGGTTATTCATGTTTAGACTCAATATATAGAAAAGTGATTAAATATCATTTTCTTTACAAAGTAGAATGT